TCAGAACTCGAACATAAAATCGATCTTTATTAACAAACTAACCACTTTAAACATCAAAAAATCTTATAATTCTATCATATTAACAAAAATAAAATGATTTGCTTAGTCTGATCTTGAAATCTAATTGGCTAATACGATAAAAAAAAAACTCTCAGCGCATGAGCAGGCATACAACTTGTTATTATTATGTATTTTATCATAAAATACGTAATAATAATTATTGTTAGTGAAATAACTGTTTGGTGAAATGACTGTTAGTCAAATGACTGTTGGTGAAATGATTTTGTAGGTAAAAGAATTGTCGGTAAATTAAGATGTCAGGAAAATGACCTTTTAGTAAAGGGATTGTTGGCGAATTAATATGTCGAGAGAATAATTGTTGGTAAAATGGCCCCAACTCATTGAAAATAGTTTCTGCAAGAAGGTTTCCTTCTAATAGAGAGAGAGAGAGGTTTTGCTTCCAAGAGGATAAATTTTGCTCCTCACAAAATTTTATGTTTCTGCCAGGAGGCACCAAAATGTTCTAGGGTTGTAGCCTTTTTAGTAAAATACAATCAAGTAACAAGATCACCTGGTACAGTGATTAACTATTACAAATATATACGAGGTGGAAGTGTAGTTGTTTACTTAACTACACAGCAGCAGGTAAATGGTTTAAGATAGTAACAGTATATAAGATAGCTTTATTTAATACAAGAATAGTGATAAGCCTTGCCTGTAGGAATTACTCTAGAGGAGAAATATCACACTTTACAAGATAAGAAGAGGTAAAGAATATTAGAGTTTAAGTGAAGTATAGGAACTTAAGAATTGGCAAGAAGAGAGAAAAGGCACTCTTTATATATCTTTTTACCCACAAGAAGGATACATGATGCATAGTAAATAAGTAACACTTGGCAAGTGAAGAAGGTGAACTTGTATAGAGGGAAGTAGAGGATCATGTTGGGTAAAGAAGGTAATTGTGCTGAGTGAAGTAGAGAACATATAAATATTACTCATTATGTTTATATTTATTTACATCTCGTGTGGGGGAATTAGAGAACTTTGCTGCATAGTATTTTGTGTTTAAAACATTTAGGACTTGTGCAGGAGAATTAGATGTTCGTGTAGAGGAAGAAGGTGTTTGTATAGGGGAAGAAGATATTTGTGTAGAGGAAGAAGATGAACTTGTGTTACTTTCTTGTATAACACTTTTGTGTAACCTAAAGTATCTTTTTGTATAACCTTGTATCACCTGAGGTCATGTGAGGTCATGTGAGATCATGTGACTGCATCACACTTCCAATAGCCAATTAGAATATTTCTATATAATTACTATAAAATATACTATCTAAATATAATAACTGATATATAATAATAAATACTATTTTAACTATATATATAAAAATACAAATATCGAATATTTATAACTAAAAATAACTAAGTAAAATCTACACTAAAAATTTACTTTGTAACAATACCTTTGGATAATAGCAAGATAAATGAAAAAAAACAGACAAAACAAAAGACAAAAGTTTTTCGATAAGACTATAAGAAGAAAAAAAATAAAAATATTAGAAAAAGTTTAGACCAAGAAAAAGAGAAAAGAAAAAGAAAATAAGGACCCGAAAGTTGTGTGTAAAAGATTTTTGGATATGACAAATGCTAAAAATCGAGGAATAAATAATAGAAAAACATTACTAGTGATAATGAAAAGATTATATGATATATGCAGAAAACAATTACAACTGACAATGTAATTGCTAAAACAGAAAATTTATAGATAATTAAAACAAACAGAAGCTAATTTTAGACATACTAGCACATGAAGTTCGGTGACCTCACTTTTTAAAGGGACGGATATAGACAAAAAATTTTTAATTCATAGAACATTGTAGAAATTTTTTTATTTTTAGAATTAAAATCCAGAGTATATGGTTAAACAAATACTTGTTTAACACTTATAGCAAACAAAGATACTCTACATTGTATACACAAGCAAACATTTTAAACATCCCTAATTTAGTTTGTATTACTACAAAAATTATAAATAGAAACACCTCTTACCCAAATCTTTATTTTCTAATTTAGTAGTTTTCCACCCAACCTCTTAAAAATAGAAACCCCTGCTCTGCAACAATTACAGCCCCAGACTATAAATGCTTTAAACAATTTTCTTGTACTATGGAACCAGAACTCCCTTGCTACCAACTATAGCTTAACAATAATCGGTAATTTTATTGTAGTGTATAATGAAACTGACATTATTACATCATTACAATTCCCACTAAAAATAGGACCGGATATACCCACACCACACCTAGACAGTGCTGATGCATTGGATAATTATTTGTCAAATATAGATTTTGGTGATCCTATTGTTTCTACTAAATCTATTGAAGAAGAATCAGTTATATTTCTTTTGCAACCTAATACAGATATTGTGTTGACTCAAGATACAGAAAACAATATACTCTCTTAACTCATTAAAGATTTAACTAAAAAAAAAGATAAAGTCATTACTTGACAAAAACCTCTAACAGAAATAATCTTTAAAAAGAAACTTAAAGAAATTGGCAATCAATTAAAAGAAGAAGTCACATGACCACCAAATTCAAATCTTAGTGACTTCTTATTATTTAGAACAGCTAAAGAAAGAAGCTGATAATAGTAAGAAAAAGACAGAAAATTTGAGATAAACTTAAAAAAGTTTTAGGACCTCGACATGCTGCTAAAGTATAGAAATGTGCAGAGTGAATTTACCAACTTCTCCAAGCCTGTAGACTATCATGTCTCTACTCCACTACCACTATTACCTTTAGTAATTTGGAAGAGCTAAGTGAAGAAAATTTTTCATCACTTCTAAGAGAAGTTAAAATTCACAGAGTTTATTTTTAAAGGGGACGAAAATGTTATAGAATGAGCTTTAACATTAGTTTTATTAGTAGTTTTATTATTATTATTATTATTACTATTATTGTTATATTATTTTTTTTTCTCTTTAACTAGCCTCTTTGGGACTAAGGTTTTTATTCAGGTATTTACTGAATGAGGGGCTCATCTCAACCCCGTACATTAGAGAGTACATTCTAGCCATACCTGCGCCTTTTAAGGCCTAATTAAGTATCTACCTATTGCTAGGTTTTATACTAGATGTCGTACTTATAACCCACTATTACTTGAGCTATCCAATTAAACCCTCTGTAATGTAACTCTTCCTGTATTATCATTATATCTTACAAAGTTTCAGATGCTTACCTATACCTTTAGGACTAATTTATCTTCGAGGCATCGTTACTAGAGCTATCTGTACCTACAATTCGGTTAATCTAGGCTTTCGGTAACTTATGCCGAGTCTGAGGACAAGTACTTGCGAGCTGAGGCCACTACTGTTACCTACTACCACCCTTATAGAGTTCATCTAAATCCCAGCACCCATTATACGATCTATCTCCTGTACACCTGTCATCCCAAACTTCTAATCCAGATGGCCTGGAAGGGCTATGACCTGCCCTTGGTCCCTATGGTTGGGTCCTTTTCCTTTGGTTACTCTCCGGCAGCCAGGTTGGTAGAGTGCTTTGCCAAATACTTCGATCCTGTTCGGTTTTCCAGTTTCTGGTTGATAATCCTTTATGTAATACTGTCAAAGATCTGTGCTACTTCTCTATTTGGGTCTTGCCAAGCAGGCTTAAATTTGCTAGATTTATCCAGTAGCTTCACTTGGGTTTTGTATAACTCATATGTCATACTACATATTCCACTACCTTCCAGTACAAGCTGGTATGACCACCATTACAGGTTCTATAATCTAATAGAATACAGTCTTCCAAATGCATTTTCTTAAATTTGAATTTTCATCACCAGTAGAATTCAAACTTTAGTCCTGCTGCTTGAGGGTGCGACAACTTGCCAACTTCACTAAGTCACCACACCCTTAATCGAACATTATTAATTAAAACATATCTGAATTATTTTCAGAAAAAATCTTGAAGAGATGGCTTGAATTGATGAGATATGCTTATAATACTGTTGTTAAATGGAACAAAAATCGTAGTTTTTGTAACAGTTCTAAAAATTTTAAATGGATAAAACTCAATAAAAAACTTAAATTATACATAGATATAAAAGAAAGAAAAGATCTTAATATAAAAGATAAAAAATTACAGAGATCATGTATATGGGGAGAATGTAAATTTCTATGAACAGTTGCATGGTTAGAATTATGTTTTAAAGGTTTATATGACAAAGTATCTGCAAATATGATTGATGAGAGTATTGATAAAGCATTAATAGTTATAAAAAATATAATACAAAAAATTCAAAAAAACTAAAAAATCATTTTTATCATTTAAGTCTAAGAAAGATTTATAGCAAACAATGACTATTCATGCACAAAACTTTTCAAAGAAAGATTGGAATCATTTTTATATTACACATCTTGACTTTATTATCAAAATGATGCAAACCTAATGATATTCGTTTCCTTGGTGAGTAGTCAAGAGAGACATTAAAAACATACGTCGTATCCTGACATATGAAACCTTGATATGAAAGGGTCTGGCCCTCGTTGTGGATTTGGCGAAATTTCACTTCCCGAAAACGAGCCTGGTTCGTCGATTATGCCTGGTAAAGTTAATCCAACACAATGCGAAGCAATAACAATGGTGGCAGCTCAAGTTATGGGAAATAATACCACAATCACAATTTCTGGCTCAAACGGTCATTTCGAAGTTCGTTAACTTTATTTAAATATCTTAATAACTTGCTTAATCTTTCGTTAATTGTAAATGTATTTCAGCTAAATGTTTTTAAACCAGTGTTGATTAAAAACCTTCTTCATTCAATCCGAATTTTGAGTGATGCAAGTGAGTCTTTCACGAAAAACTGTATTGTAGGAATAAAGGCGAATGAAAAGAGGGTTAATAATATATATATATATTTTATCCTTATTATCTTAACGTGGTTTCCTCTAACCTAAATTTTTTTCTAGATAAATGAAATTATGAATCAAAGTTTGATGCTTGTAACTGCACTTAATCCCCATATTGGTAAGGGACTAAATATGAATTTTCTTACATTGGTATTTCTCTTTAATTTTTTATGATGATTAAATAGGTTATGATAAGGCTGCTTCTGTGGCCAAGAAGGCACATAAAGAACATTTAACAGTAAGTTTTTAGGCTACATTAATCTTTACTAGTATATTCAGAATTAGATTTGAACATGAAATTTATAATTTCAATTTATAAAGCTTAAAGAAGCTGCCACTCAATTGGGCGTCTTAACAGAGGACCAATTCGATGAATGGGTCAAGCCTGAAAAAATGCTTGGTAAACGTCAATAATATTATTACCATATTAGAATCTTTTTTAAGTTCAATATCTGAAATAATCTTGGTTTAGGTCCTAAATGATAATGTCAAAATGGGTTATACTGATGAGTTTTAATTACTATATAACATGGATGGTATAAAGTGTAATCACAAATGCGATTTTATCCATCCAATCATTAAAAAAAGTAACACAGATCCTTTAATAAATCTATTTTAACTCTTTTTAGCTAAATTATTACGGATCGTATATCGTAAAAAAAAAAAAAAAGTTTACACAATGTATCAAGAAAATCGATGCTTAATGGTTTTGGAAACATTTGTACTGATTTTCCAGAGTGGAATGGAAATTTTACTGTCCAAAACTGCAGCACTCATATATTATACCTGAAAATATATCATGGTTACAACCAGTGTCTGAAATTGGGTTGTGGACCGCAATAAATTTTGTGAATTTGTATATAGATATGTTTATATGCGCAACTAAATTCATATAATTTGCAAGAGATTTTTTATTTAGTTGCGGTCCCGCAACTAAATTAAAAATTGAATTTCAGACATTGGTTACAAAACAAGAACAAAAAATTTGATAGTTAACCTAATTTTATTTGTACCAAGGACTTAAACACGTGCAAAAGAAAAATGTAAAAACATGTAGACATTGAATAAAAATATGTACCGTGTTTTCGCGTAATAACGCGTTATTTTAAGTATATATGCGCTATTTAGAATATGCGCATGGGCGTTATTTTGAAACAATTTGATACTAAGTAAACCTATTTTCGACTTCTAACAAAGTTTGTTCTTCAGATCGAGACGATTCAAACGGTAGTAAATTATCAAAACGGTCTATCCGAATTTTTAGAACGTGTTTATATGATATGCAACTACGGATGGATTGTAACACATCAATAATAATCAATACTAAGTATTACTAAGTAAAGTTACTATTTCCTGCATGAAGAT